GGTGTGCAGAGGGGGGTGAGGAGCATGTGCAGAGTGGATCTGATGCTGAGGATCCTTTGTCTGAGGCCGTGCCACCACCTCTACCGGGAAGGTCTGCTCCACGGCTAGCTGTTCAGACTCCTGCCACGGACGGTAAGGATGGGGAGGAGGGTGACGAGGTCCCTGGCGAAACGCAGATCACTGTCAAGCCTGTCGTGGCAGAGCAGACCACAATCAAGAAGTTGATCGACAATCAAGCTCAGAAGGAGTTGGACATTGCCTGGGCGGAGGCAATGTTCAGGGCGGGCATTCCTTTCAACTTCCTAAACTTCGACACCACGCAAGCTTTGCACGAAACATACCTGAAGGTTGCAAGTGCAAGGCCAAAGGTCAAGTTGCCTTCCTACAAACACATGCGGACTGTCATGGTTGATTACATCTACCTGAAGGTGCAGAAAGCAATCAACACCATGACTGCATGTTGGGAGACAACCGACTGCACATTCATCACCGTCGGGTCCACAGATCGCAAGAATCGGCCGGTGATGAATTTCCTTCCAGCGGGGGAGAAAGGAGCAGTTCTGGTCACGACAGTGTTCATGACGGGGAGGAAGAAGAACGCAGCAGCATTGGCAAAGTTGTGGGAGCAGGTGATGCGTGAGATAGGGCTTCAGCGGATCAACGCGATATGTACAGACAATGCAGAGGTCAACAAGAAGGCGGCTCAGATCTTAGAGAGGTGGACCGACAAAGATGTCGCGAAGATATCATGGGTGCCATGTGGAGCGCACTGTTGCGGTTTGTTGCTGAAGGACTTGAGCAATTTGCAATGGGTGAAGAAGGCAAACACGATTGTCAAATTCATAAGGAACCACCACTCTACGCACGGCCTCATGATGACTATCGACGACTCCTTGTCATTGCTGCGCCCAACAGAGGTCCGGTTCGGGTCTGTGTATCAGATGCTGGGTAGGTTGGTGAACAGGGAGCACGTGCTGAACGATATGGTGGATGAGAATTATGGTGCGAGATGGAGGGCACTGAGGTGGTCCTCAGCAAAGCTGCAAAAGAAGACCGACCTCGTCTATTACTCATTGAGGTGTGAGAGTTGGTGGGATAAGGTGAAAAAAATTGTGGCCATCATGGAGCCGATGTTCAGTCTGCTCAAGAGAATGGACAAGGAAGGAGTGTCTCCCACCAACCTTGTGGAGTATGACGATCTCATTGCAAGGAGATTGACAAATGTCGTACTCACGAAGAAGGAGCGCGAAGACGTGATGGCGAAGGTGAAGGACCGCGTGCAGATGATGCGGCAACCGGCACATGCAGCTGCCTTTCTTTTGGATCCACAAAGGAGACAGCCTGGCTGGCTCAACGATCCAGACAGTGCACTCGTGCAAAATGCAATGCGTTTCTTGCTGAGGCAGATTGGGGGGACGTGGGATTCACAGAAACACATTGACATGTAGGGGTATCTGTATGAGTTCTTGAGATAACCTGTGGAAGGTGAAGTCGAGAAAGGTGAGCATATGTGGACCCCTCTTGCTAGAACGGCAGCCACAGAACGTGCTCTGACGGATCGGTGGTCGTTGCATGATGGAGATGTTCCGGATTTGCAGGCGAACGGATTGGTGGTCGTTGCATGGTGGAAATGTTTCGGATTTGCAGACGATCGCCATCAGAGTGCTGGGAATGTGGAGCACAGCAACATCTGCGGAGCGGAACTGGGCATCGATAGACTTTGTCCACTCAAAGAGGAGGAACAACCTCTCACCGGCGTCCTTGGAGAAACTTGTGTACATTCATTGGAACATGCAGTTGCTTTGTGTTCGAACAAACAAGGACAATGGCTACGTGGATGTATGGGGGTCCTTCTTCGAGCCATTGATGAAGCCGACAGAGGAGGACCAATCTCTCGACGATGGCACAACAGAGAAGACGGTGGACGAAGGGGAGGAGGAAAAGAGGCAAAAGAGGCTGAAGAAGGCTCCGAAAGGACGGATTCCCCGCGACCTGTTGGATGAAGACTCGAGCGGGAGCAGCGAGCTTGAGGATCTGATATGGAAGGGGAAATGTTGGAATGAGTCTACTTCGGAAGAGAGCAACGGCGAGGCTGATATTGGTGAGGACTCCGACTTCGAGTTGGGGGCTGTGCCAACGGTGCCAGCGACTGCTTATGTCGGTCGGATGCGCGGGAGGCGAGAGAAGGAGGCAGAGGTGCAGCCTTCAGAACCCGTAGAGAGAGTTGACACGGACATCGAGTTCTTGATGCACCGTGTCCCTGATGGTGACCGTGATGCGGACGAGGACGAAGCAGATCGGGGAAAGGCTATGGCGGATAGAGATGCTGCCCTTGTTCAGATGCGGATGCTTGAGGACGAGGCTCGGCGTGCTGCTATCCCCACCAGGAGGGAGAGAGAGAGACAAAGCAAACAGATCAGCGAGCCGGAGAAGGAGCATCAGGAAGAAAAAGATCAGCAGCAAGAAAATGAAAATATGCAGCAAGAGGGAGAGGCGCCCC